TCCCCGCCGCACCTCTCACATACCAGCGGCTCCCCGCTTACCAACTTCTTCTCCTCTGTCCCAGCACTTCCAGAGCATGGCAAACAGCTGATTCGCGGCATTCAAGCTCGGGGGGTAAGGGGGAGGACACACACCTGGGGCTGGCATCGAAGCCCCCAGGAGGGGGGCCGGAGGCCAGAAACCTGGGTGGCAGCAGGGCCCCCAGGTGGGGGGCCACACTGGGCATAAAGCCTGGGGGTGCTGTAGCACCCCCTGCTCCCCCATTTCCCACACCTATGAAGACCGGCTGGCACTCTGCATTGGCCTTCCATGGTTCAGGTAATTCTCTGGTTCGGCACCAGTCAGGTCCCGAGGGTGCCGGACTAGAGAGGTTCAACCTGTATTAATCTCAGCCGTAAAGTATCACTAGCATAGTTTTCTGCATTAAAAAATGCAAAATGTTTGCACACCAAAGAAATACCAGTGGGAGTTCAGAATTAAAGCTATCCGAACAGGTAATAGAGGACCCTGGTATATGAGGAAAGGGGAAAATAGGAGTGCACACCAAGCCTCTGGCATGTGAGAAGGGGTGAAAGTGGGTGCACAGAACCCTTGGAATGGGGGGGAAGGGGAAGGATGAGGGACACACAGAGCCCCTAGCCTAAAGGAGAGAGTTTCAGGGAGGCCCTGAAACAGAGGGTGGAAAGTCATGGGGTGCATGCAATAAGCTTCAACTATAGAAGCTGAAAACCGTGGACCTCCTAGTTTAAATATAAATAAGAAAAAGTTCTGGATGCAACATTCCTTCTTGCAACACCTATATTTAAAATTCAGTGTTTCCAGCAACTTGGCTACTATCACAAGTTCAACTCCTAATGTACCTTTCTTGGCCTCTAAGTGAGTACACATATATTCACATTTCTATTCAGATATTTTGATTGTAAGATGCTCATAATAAATGCTATTGGTAAACTGATTCAGTAGTATTCACTTACTGGAATTCTGAACTGATGGATTTAGTACTTGTTTTTTCTTTGTTATGACATGTTTACTTGCTTACTAAATATTAATGCAATGGTTTTGCTATATATAAACACTGGCACATGCACGTTATTGTAGTAAACACACGCACACACAGGTTCCAACATTTAAACAATGTTCTCATAGATTTGTTACATGTCTGCTGGTGAACACTGTGTTAAATTTAATACATGCAGTGGTAAGATAAGTGGGTTGTTAGCATGTCACCAGCATCGAGGCAACACTCTTCAGGGGGTAACTCTCACCAGGAGATGGGAGTATGTGAAGAATCTCTCTCTCTCTCTGGGAGGTAAGGGAAAGTGGGGAATCTTCCCCCTCTGCTCCCTTTAGGAGACATGTTTCCTCTGCTTTCTCCACTGTGGGAATCTCCGTTCCTGTGGGTCTAAAGCAGGGGACGGCAACCTTTCAGAAGTGGTGTGCCGAGTCTTCATTTATTCACTCAAATTTAAGGTTTCGCGTGCCAGTAATACATTTTAATGTTTTTAGAAGGTCTCTTTCTATAAGTCTATAATATATAACTAAACTATTGTTGTATATAAGTAAATAAGGTTTAAGAAGATTTAAAAATTAAATTAAAATGCAGAGCCCCCGGACCGGTGGCCAGGACCTGGGCAGCGTGAGTGCCACTGAAAATCAGCTCAAGTGCCGCCTTTGGCACGCGTGCCATAGGTTGCCTACTGCTGGTCTAAAGAATGGGCAGTGGTTTTCAACCTCAACCATGTTTGCAGACCCCTAATAAATTTCAAATGGAGTTGTGGACCCCTTTGAAAATCTTAGTTTGCAGACCACAGGTTGAAAATCACTGGAATAGGGGTTTGTGGGGTAACCTGCCACCTTCAGGGGGAATACTCCTTCCTCCTGTCTTGGGCCTTACCAAATTCACAGCTGTGAAAAACGTGTCATGGACCATGAAATAAGCCCTCCCACGTGAAATCTAGCTATTGGAGGGGAAAGGGAGGGTCAGGGCTGGAGGCACCTTAGCCAGGGGTTCCTACCATTCCCCAGGCTCCAGCTGCTAGTCCCCACACTGGGACAGGACTTGCTCTTCCCCTGCACAGCTGCTCTCGTGGGGAGATCAGGCCCACTTCCACCTCCAGGAACCTCCTACAGCTGCAGAAGTGAGGGTGGCAATCACGCAACTCCCCTACAACAGCTTTGCAACACCCGCACCCCACAACTCCATTTTGGATTGGGACCTCCATGGTTACAACACTGTGAAATTTCAGATGTAAACATCTGAAAACTTGAAATTGACTAATTTTCAAATCTTATGACCATGAAATTGACCAGAATGGACCCTGAATTTGGTAGGCCCTACTCATGACCCTGTCTGACAGCAATGTGGATTACTCTGAATTCAATTTACACTACCAACATATGACTATTATTATTTGTATTACAGTAGTGTCTAGAGATCAGGGCCCCATTATGCTATACTCTGTATGAACATATAGCAAGAGAAAGTCCCTGCCTCAAAGTGATTACATTCTAAATAAACGAGAGAGAGAAGAAAGCAGACTAGAGGTACAAACCAAGCCTAACATTCGTTTAGCAGTCAATGTTCCCCAAACTGCTTAATCTGACAATGTTCCTTTAAGTACAGTTTGGTCCCCCATGTCCAGAGATATTGGACATGCGCATTTACAATAAGGCCTTTTCTTTTCCTTATTTTTTTTTTACATACACTGCCAGAATGGTATAAAGGGACTTTAGCATAAAGAAGAGTCATGCCCATAGTGACCAAGAAGTCTCTTTGAGACTCCAAAAGGGATGCAAGTGAAGTATTCCTTCTTGCTGGCCTCTCCTCCAAACAAACGTATTATCCACAGATCTATGCTGATGACACAGGGAGTGTCGGTAAACTAGTTAACATGGCTGTGAACAGACAGAACAACGTAGTAATTAAAGCACCTTTTAAACAGTAATGTATCATTACAGATTTTTTTTTACCTCCTTTAAAAAGAAAAAAAATAAAAGAAATTCTATTCTATTCCCCTGATAAAGTTTATAAGGGTATTTCCAGTGGAGAGGCAGGGCTGTGTGTAATGGGCAAGTCTGAGAACAAAGCACCAAAGAGGCTTAGGCTTTTGGCAAGTCTACGCTACAAAATTAAATCAACCTAAACTATGTCGACATACAGTCACCACAGTAATTAAATCACTTTTGCACATCCACACTACGCTTCTTGTGTCAGCGGTGCACATCTTCACCAAGAGCCTCAGGGTGGGGATTGTGGGATGGCTTCTGAAAGTCAGCAACAGTCAATGTAAGTAATAGTGTGTCTACACTGACACCATGTCGACCTAATTACATCAACCTAAACACTACGCTTCTCGTGGCGGTGAAATGGGCGAGTTACATTGGTGGGAGCTACATTTTAGTGTAGATGCTTACAGAGTTAGGTCGATGTAAGCTAGCTTACATCAACCTAACTCCATAGTATAGACCTGGCCTTAGCCTTCCTCTACCCTCCCATTCTTTCCTAAGGATACTGGTGCCTGCTGTTTCTTTGTCACTGCTGTTACGGATAAACATCCTTATGTAGGGCCTGGGGAAGAGCATACATGCCAGCTCCCATCAAAGCAGTGCATGAGAATATTTCATCACACCAGTGCATGAGACAGGTAATGCAACAGGCTAAACAAAGTGTTGGCAGACTAACAAAATCAATTGTTGACAGTGTCCCTTTGAACTGGACACCCTTCAGAACCTATTAATACCACCCATTTATCAATAAGAATTGCTGCTGAACACCTCAAAGCACTCCCTGAAACCTGAGCACGAAATCTCCTCAATACTTTGTAACTCTTACCAAATGGGGAGCAAGAGACCAGATGACACAGCTAAATCTCTCATCCATTTCATGTCCTGACTATCACAACCTCCTGTTTTATGGACTCAACTACTGTAACTTTGCTCCCCCAAAGTCTATTTAAAATAATGATGCTAAGACTGCTCCTTTTTCTGACCACATCACCTCCTTACTCTGGCCACCCAAGTCTCTCCACTGGCTCCCCCTTAACCTCTACATCAAACATACGTTTCTTGTCTTTACCTTTAAGACCCTTCACAACTTAACCCCACCCTTCCTAGTTGATCTAGTAACTCATTGTGATGTGGACACCTGCCTTCACTCTGCCAGCATTCCCAGCCTTTACTGCCCACCAGCCAGCTTCTCCCTTAAACACCTCTCTGCTTTCTTTCACTCTATCCAACATGCATGGAAAAAGCTCATCAATAAAATCCATGCAATCTCTTCCTTATTCTCCTTCAGATCCCTTATTAAGGCTCACTCTGTCATGACTGCTAGAAAACCCTGCCTGATAGTTACAACCTAGGCAGATTTCCAAGAGCTACATGTATGTAGCTAACAAAGCTGTGGAAATTCTTCATCATACTCATTCATTTGTAAGTTTTAACCCATCTGTTTTGGTCTTCAGACTGTAAACCCTCCAGGGTAGGGATTACATCTTTTTTATATTTGTACTGCACCCAACACAATGGGGTCTAAATCCTGATTAAGGCCTTTGGGTGCTACCTGAATATAAATATTTACAAGACTAGCAAATTAACATGCATTTCTCAAACAGCAGCAGAGAGCACTAACATTATGCCATCCCTGTGGTATAATTTCCTTAGTTAACTGCTACTACAGGGCAAAGAGCAACATTGTATTTTGGCAGATAATATACAAATGGCTGCTACTGTATTTTATTTCTGTTAGAGAGTGGTAGAGTTATCAAAACAAAAGAGCCACTAGACATTTGAAATACAGAGGAATTTCCCTTCAGACTACTTTTAAAAGGTAAAGAATGCAGTCTTATTTTTATAAATGTGTAAATGTCTGTTTCATGGTGTCATATTAAAGCAAGAGATTATTTTCCTGCTTATAAACAGACAAATTTCCTGCATAACTACATGCACTCACTTCTAAAAGAGAAATGACAAGATGACACTACTGATACCGTATGTCTCTTTACCTGTTTCCACAGTGTTTTCTGTTTCTGCTGCCTCCAACCCATCCATGCTGTCTTCATCCTCCACTGCAGTTTTTCCTCTACTCCGAGGCCTACAAATATAAGAAGGGCACATTGTTCACAAACAAATCTATTCAGTTTAAATGTATCTAGGATCAAAATCATTTTATGCTGACTGAGTCATTATCATCACTAACTTATCTGGAATTTAAATTCAGCAATTATTTATGAAATTAGATGACAGTCCTACCTACACTTTTTTGTGCTGTTGAACAAGAGTATTATACCACTAAAGGTTAACTTGGTACCCCTTTAATCAGCTGCCAGACCATAAGATTTTGCAATTACCATTAACAGAATCATTTATTAATTCACTTCTTTTGAACAGGCAGTAGGCCACTGGCATGACAACAAGAGAAAAGTGTTTTGTTAGATCTTCACATTTTTTATTATGCAGAAGGCAATTACAAGGATCTTACTTTAGAATGTGGTCCGAAACTTGTGTATTAACAAATCTTACACACTTATACACAGATATATAGCCATATAAATCAGTCCAGAAAATAAATTCCAGAGAATATGACCATATCATGGTGGGGGAGGGGAGAGGAATTTTGCTGGCGGAACAACAGTGCTAAAAATGATGTTAGTTGACAAGTTACTTTTAAAATTAAATACTGGAGCGGGTCAGAAATTCTCAGACGCAACAATATTTTACTGACAGAAAGTGCCAGCTCGAAATTGAAATGTTCCATGGAGACTGTCTGATTTTGAAAAAAGGGCTGACAGAAAGCAGAAAGCTTTTCCACTGGGAACCCGTCTGGTTTCCTTCCAGTTTACCTGCCCGGCTCCTCAGGAGCCAGCTTAGTGGGCTGATGGGAAGCCATGAGCCCGTAAGGCCGCGGAGCCCCAGATTCCAGGCTCTTCAGCACTCACCTGCTGGGCTCCTGCCTTGTGAGGCTGCCAGGACCTCCCAGCAGGCAGACTACCCCCAAGTCAGGGACCCCACAGCTTCCAGGGCTCACAGCTCTAGGGCATCCCATTAGGCAGACTTTCCCTATGCCAGGGGACCCAGGGCTTTCCATTTCACAGAGAATTTTGAAATTTTTAGTTTTTATTCCAAATTGGAATGAAACCACATTTCTCAGTATCGAAATCCTCCCTGAAAAGGACTTACCCTTCTCCACACAGCTCTATTAAATACAAAAGAATCGCATTAAAATAATTTCTCTGTACTACACCAACTGAGCAGTCCAAAGGAAACGTTCCATCCTGCACCACCTCAGATGCTCAGAGACAATAGGTGCAGAATTTGAACAGAATTGTTTTGGTCCATGCTCTGTTGAGTGTACTGCTGAAGCAGAGCATTCCACACCAGAGCAGTAAATGTCTCATAGGAAGGAGATCTCTCTGGTCACATTTGAACAGTGTTGGCCATGTGGAGGAGTAGAGGGATTAAAATGGAAACCAAAACAGTCTGAAATCCACAGCACCTTTCATTCCCATGCAGGGGACGCAATATTGCTGTGCCAGACACAATGAAAAGCAAATGAGTTTTAAAAAAGCAGTCTTTACTTTTGAGTTTCTTGGCTTTTGTTTTTGTTTGGGTCACAATAGGAAAGAGGAAGTCCAAAATGCACACATGGCAGAACCACTACTTTAATAAAAAATAAAAAATAAACAAGTCACCCCTATTACCCAAAATGTTAGCTATTATGATAATAGCGCCCAAAGGACTGTACAAATTAACCTCCCAGGAAGAAGCAGGTCTATGAAACTGGATTGGGTCAGTAATTGCATTCCCTGAAAAGATATTGACATAAATGTAGATATTTGATAAAGGCATAGGGGAAAAGAAGGTTGTTATGATGGGATCTCCATCTGTATAGTGCATATTTGGATTTTTTCTCCTCCTCAAATTATTAGTCCCAAATTTAGATTATCTTTGGACAGCTGTCTATAGTATGGAGTTTTGGTTCACCACTTTCATGTTATTTAAATGATTTTCCAGATTTTTTTAAAAAAGAAAAATAAACAAGATGTATTCCCCTCCCAATAATGTATTAAGGCTACAACTGTTGACACATTTCTCATCTACACACCTGCTGCATAACATACTTAAACTCTAAATCTGACAAAAACTACCAACTCCATCAATAACATTAACCAGAATTAATTATGTTACGTTACAGAAGGAAGAGGGGGAGTAACTTTTCCGAATTAGGGTCCTTTTGATATCTTTAAAGGATCACAATTTTTCAGCCCTGCCCTGAACAGATGGTGACCCTGGAATACAGCTGAATGCAGCTTCTCCTGCCCCCAGCCAGTTTTTCTACGTGGCCCAAAGATGACATGAATATGTAGTGGAGGAAGAAAGATGGCCTTGTGGGAGTACAGAGAAAACTGCATCCTCTTTAGCCATTTGCCCCTCAGCCTTCTGCAGTTCTCCATTACAGTTTTCTAAAGGTATGTCTACAATTAAAACCCCATGGCTGACCCAGGCCAACTGACTTGGGCTCTTAGGACTCGGGCTGCAGGTCTGTTTAACTGCAGTGTAGACATTCCAACTGTCAAGGAGCTTCGCCTCGCCATAGATGGCCTCCCCAATGGAAAGGCCCCCAGAAAAGACTGCATACCATCCGAGGTCATAAAATGCAGAAAACCTATTCTACTG